TAAGAGAGGCATTCAAACTTTATCGTAATACGCAGGAACCAAACTGGCCTTAATTTGATCTTACAAATGACGCCATAGTTAAAAAACGTACACAGTTATTTACATAAAAAATACTGCAAGGTAATCTTGACATATATATTCTATCAACTGTCAAACAGAGGGTATTACACCAATAACATTTATTCAATCCATTCTTAAATAAACTAACGTATGTCTATCTAACACTAATAGAAAAAGTGTTATGTAAAAACGACACCGAATCAACACGCGGACAGCAAACAAACAGATAATGACCCCTAGACAGACACACACAAACGCAAACGCACAGATACAAACTTAGGAACATACAGGGTCCAATATATAAATTGTCCACTAAATTACGCAAAAATGAAAATTGATATCGCATTTTAGCAGATCAGTCAGTCATGTGCCATGCGGGATACATACGTAGGTGACCATGTATCTTTCGATACATGACTTACGAGGCAGACTTTTTTTTTGCAGTAGTTTGCAGTAATATTTTAATTCAAATATGTCTGTATGAAGAAACTTAAAATAAAAAGAAATACTTAAAAAAACAACACGTATTTGTAAATCTTATTCACTTAAAACAGATTAATTTAAACCATTATGCGCCGGACAGAGGGACACACCACGCAAGCACGCACGCCATCACAGACTTTTAGTATCATATCGGTTAATAGAACTTCTGACTAAACTGAAGCAAGAAGAGAATGATTTTAAAATCTGAATTGTTGAATACGTTGGTGTCCTTTATCACCAGGGTGAGAAATAAACGATAAAGTAGGACTTAAGTAGGGATGACTTCAGGGAGAATTTTGTTGTTTTTGTTGGTTTCTTTTTCCATTTGTTGTATTATTGTACAGTGACCACCTCAACCCTTACATCTGGCCACCTAACTTCCCAGACTGCAACTGCCTTGATTGTTATGTGTGGGATGCAGTTGATCCTGAGACCGACAACACTCATTGCATTAACAAAGATGAACTGAAGGTAAGGATTATGGCTGCATTCACCAACTTGAACAAGGATGAAGTACACAATAGATGCAGGAGATTCTGAGGTCGTCTGAAGGCCATGGTTGAGGCCAATGGCGATTTTATTAACTTAAAATATTTTTTTAGATCAGATTAACTTAAAGTTAAAGACAGACACAAAGAGGTCCCACTTTACCGTTTCGTCCAGTTTTTGCGGAGCATTTATATATATTTCAGATTTCTTTAAATAAGCATTAAGTTAATCTGATCTAAAAAAATATTTTAAGTTAATAAAATTTTAAAATACGAGTCGTTTATACGGTAAGAATTTTTATTTTAACTTTCTTCAAACAGACACTATTTTAATTATTTTTTTTTTAGTTAAAAATAGACACAAAGAGATTTGGGGTTTTGTTTCGTCTAGTTGTTTATAGTGTAATTATCTATAATTCAGTTTTGTTTAAACAAAAATATTATATATAAGTGAAAATGTTTTGGGCATATTTAAAAAATATTTTCAAGTGAATATGATTTTAAAATATTTTTTGACAAATTAAAAATATTTTTAGATTAATCTGATTTAAATTTCAAGTTTATCCCAAAATCTCTATTCCTATTAAATACTGTAAACAACCAGTAAAACATTAAACATGAACTTGTAAACCAGACCAATAATGACATGAATGAATTGAAATATTTTATTGAATCATAAAAGAATTAACGTTCACTTGAATGGAAAGTTGAAATAAATTTCAATATTTTATAACCTGAGCCATAAGTGACCCGACGGGTCACGGGCAGTTTAGTATATAATCAATATCAGCAGGCTTATTGACAATATTTTTAGCATTTCGTTGTTCTAGTGCTCGAATTTCATGAACCGGATTATCAAGTCTGCACACAGACACACACACATATATATATATATATATATGTCTATATTTCTGATATGAGGTATTATGTACATTATTTATCTCCTGCGGAAAGGAATATAAAGGAGAGACAGGCCGCCCCCTCAAGGTAAGGCTTCAAGAACACCAGAAGGCCGTAACTCGAGGGGAAGTAGAAAAATCAGGCGTGGCTGACCACATATGGAGAGAGAAAAGGGAGATCACCGCCCTCTGTGGGATCATGTTGAGATCATAGACAGGGAAAACCATTGAAAAAATTGTAAACTTAAGGAATCAGCACATATGCTAGGCAACAAAAATCTCCTGAGCCGATGATAACAAGTTGCAATATGAGCTCTGGTAAAAACATGCAACGATAACAGCAAAATTGCAATATGAGCACTGGTAAACATGGTTGCTGAAGACATTAGATTTATAATACCCAGAAATTCATACCCAGATGTCCTCAAGGACACATGGCACAGTGGATAAAGGTGTTGGTTAGATCCAGTGACAAGGCCCAAAGAGTGTGAGTTCAATACCCGGTTAAGGAGAACTTTCGGAGGGAAAATTAACAGGAGATATTCCAACCACCTGAAGAAGGCCGGAACGTTGTGATAATATGGCGACAAAGATGAGGACAATTATGTGATTAATCGAGTCTAGAATTCTTCGAATTATTTCAATTGTACCCCTAATTATTTGTATATCCTTGCTTGAACCGGCTTTTAATGCTCTGGATGGAGCGAGTTGGTGATAGTTGTGGCTCGTGGCAGTGCTATGCGTCAGGGAAACTCGAACGTCAACCAAGTCAAAAATGAGTAAATTTAAAGGATTTGAATATAGAGAAAAGATAAAGGGTTTGAAGAGATGAAATAAAGGAATGAAATCATTTTTTTTTTTTTTTGCTGTCCTCTGCTAGCATGTCCATTGCTAGCCGCAATGATGGAGAAAGAATTACGTCTCACACTGCAAGAGCCACTCCATTTCCGGAGGCTAATCAAGGCGCCATCCCGACAAGAGAGCCACTCACCACAGAAGTTTCGTCGGCCACAGGAGTAAAAAAAATAAATTATCAGCAAGAGAATAATATTTAACTACTTTTTTAATCTCTGCGACAGACCTTGATTCAGCTATTTTACTTCGAACGTTACATTTAGTAAATGATTTGAGACACCTGTTTGTTTGGTTTATGGATTATTTTGTTTAACGGCATATCAAACTCAATGGATTATTTAATGCCGACAACATTTTTAGGATACATTCGTATAAATAGAATATGTATTCTTTGGTTTAGATTGGTGTAGTTTATTTTCTTTACGGCATATCAACCTCAATGGGTTATTTAATGCCGACAACATTTTTAGGATACATTTGTATGAACAGAATATGTATTGTTTGGCTTAGATTGGTTTGGTTTATTTTGTCCCACGGCGCACAAACCCCAATGGGTAACTCAATGCCGACAAAATATTTTATTTCTGGTAATATTTGGTTTTGTCAAAAATCTGTTTCTGTTAATATTCTTCCTTCAAAATTGTAGTGCTTGTAATAATTTTTCCAAAACCTATTGCTGGTAATAGTTAACTATTATCCCATAGATGGGACCCTAACAGGTGCTACAACCCGGGTCATTGTGAACCTGAGAACACCAGCAATTAAGAGATGGTTCCACACTCCCCAAAACCTTCTGATCAGATGCCTAGCAGCTGGAGGTAGTTTATAGTCTTACCCAGGACGCAGATGTAGTTTCACGTCTTGCACAGGACGGTACCTGTTTGTCATTTTTTTCTTAAACATAATGATTTATGTCATCAGCCTCAGATCAGCCTTGTAATAATTCTTTTATTGTTATAGAAGTCATTCTAAGAAATGTTATATTAAACTTAGATGAATAATTTTCAATTAAAGTTTAAATAAAGTTTTAATTAATATGTCAAAAACCACTCAACTAATTGGTCTTTTTTACATGTGTTCAGATAAGACGTTTATCAGGGTATAATCCTTTTGTGTCAGCTTTCCTCCCAACTGAGCAATTCTGAGAGGAAAATGATCATTCAGGCCGTCAGTAATAATTCCAAGATTCAAACTCTGGCTTCCATCTTCAAAGTTCATTCAAGAATGATCAAGAGAAACGATGAATAAGTTTAGGAAAGTGGGAACAGTGCAGAAGAAAACTAGATCAGAGGCCACAACAGCAAGAGCGATCATCATTTCAAAATAGATCTAAATATATTCTTACTGTTCAAAGCAGAACAAAAAAAAACTCGGAGAATTACAATAATATATATTTAATCATTTCTATGAAAAAACGTTACAAAAGTTTAATCTAACAATTGAACAATTTTGGTGTTACAGCAGTTATATACACACACACACACACACAGACACACACACACACATATATATATATATATATATATATATATATATATATATATATATATATATATATATATATATATATATGAATTAACGTTATATAATTTTGTATAATTTTATATATGAACATTTTTTTGAAAAATATGACAAATTGAAAAATTTCTTGCGAAACGTTTCAGTCCGATGAAATTGTAATGGATGAAACGCATCAAAAACATTTCTCAGTTTTTATTAATATATATATATATATATATATATATATATATATATATATAGAGAGAGAGAGAGAGAGAGAAAGGGAAAGGAGAGGAGAGAAAGATAAATATATATATATATATATATATATATATATATATATATATGATTAAAGATATGATTAGTTAGCTTATGGACATTGTAATCCAAGGAATATTCTGACAAACAAACAGATTAATTTGCCTATAAATTAAAAAACATCTATTTCAGAAATTTGAAAAAAAGGCTCCAAAAATGTATGTAATATATATATATATATATATATATATATATATATGTGTGTGTGTGTGTGTGTGTGTGTGTGTATTGCAATAGATAGATAGATAGATGGATAGAATCATATGATCAGCCGAAAAGATAGACAGATAGAAAGCGACAGAGAGAGAGAGAGAGAGAGAGATAAATAATCAAATAAAGGTGAAACATATATGTATACAAACATTGATACATAGGTAGAAAGACGGGCCTGAAAAGATTATATCGATAGATAGATAGATAGATAGATAGATAGATAGATAGATAGATAGATAGATAGATACTTTAAGGGAGAGATTTAGGAGTTATCGGGGAGAAAGATGATCAAATAGGGATCAATATAGAGATGGAGACAGAGGACCCTATATATAAACTTGAATTTAATGCAACTCTAATTGAAATCTGATTAAACTCACTTCTGAAGAGCTTCTGCCATTATCTCTCTTGCTTCCTCGGGCCACGAAAGAGATTTTCCCCTTTTAGCTCTATGTTGGAACATTTCCCAGGTTTTCTTAATCACGCGCCTTCCTTTTCTCTGTAAGTGATGCAAATTTATGTGTGAGAGTCTTAGAAGGGTCCAATCAGGATGACGAAGCCAGCTTCCAGCGGCATTTTGACATCTAATGAAATTCTACCGTCACGCGAACCTTCACGTCATATTAACGTCGCCAGATCCTTGATGGATAGAAATAAAATGACTTTCTTTGATGACATTATTTAGAAATCTAGTGATACACTGAAATAGCGAAATGCGTTTTTCAAAAGCCAAGCCATGTATTAAGAGATGGTAAATTTCGTTAGAAAAAAGAATATATTACAGAGTCATGGAATGTATGGAGTAATGTCGGGCTTTTTCTTCACGGAATTTATATATCAATAGGTGGCATTATTATTATGTTTTTATTATATTATTGTTGGTATCTAGATCCCACCCATTTAGTGTTGAGCTAGCTAAATCCAGCCACCATTTCTACTACAAGAGTTTCTTTCATCACACTTCACGCCTGTGGAACGCTCTTTCTCATTTCTTGATTCCCTGATAACTTCAATCTTCAAAAAATTGAATACAGTGTGACTCATCAACGTCTATTTTCTTGAATCTCAATAATTTTTGTGCTTTCCTATTCCCAATCTTCTTTTCACTGTTACTTCCTGTAACACTCCGCACACTAGTGGCATTACCTCCTTGCTTGTTGTGAAATTATTATATATATATATATATATATATATATATATATATACAGTGTAACCCGGATACAAGAGAGTTGTCGGGACCGGAGACGAAGTCTCTTATATCCGGGTTTGGTCTATTTTATATACATTAACACAGGCTCTAATTTGGGACCAGAGAAAATCACTCTTATATCCGGGTCTCTTATATCCAGGTTACAATATATATATATATATATATTAGGACATTTTTATGTTTATGCAAAAAATATTTAAGTAAATGCTCTGTTTATAATAAACAGTATTAACCGGCCTGAATATCCGAGAAATTTTCATAGAAAATATGCGTCCTCAAACATGAATCGAACCTGTATCCTATACGGAACCGTCATATAGTCTGACGTGCTTTTACCGATTGAGACACAGAGGAGCGTTTCGGTAAGCAAGGTCGATTTTACTGTTTTTAAACTACAATTATTACTACAGTAAAATCGACCTTATCGACGCATATTTTCTATGAAAATTTCTCGGACATTCAGGCCGGTAAATGTTACTACTGTTTATTGTAAACAGAGCATTTACTTAAATAATTGTACCTATAAAAAGGAATGTATAAACATAAAAATGTCTTAAAATAATTGTCGGATTTTGTCCTTTTCATAATATATATATATATATATATATATATACCAACTACTTCAAATCGACCTATATATAAATATGTATATATACCAATGGTCCATTTGAAGTTATCAAACTGGTGGGGTCAATCTCAGCGTGTGTGGCATCTTTGAAAAGTGGCTGAAAACTATACCGCGGGTTGGCCCAAGGCTTGTGAGTAAAATTGGGTAGACTTCACTCTTGGGGGCCGTCGATAGCTGTGCTAGCTGAGGGTTTGAGCGTGCTGGCCTTGTTCAAATTGTTGATCACGCTAGATAACACGTTCTTTCCCAGAAACTGTAACGGAGGTATTCTCAGCACAGTTGCAGTATAAACCATAGGTGGGATCTGTTAGTGTTGTATAAACACAGAATGTGTCTGAGCAAGCGTATATATATATATATATATATATATATATATATATATATAATTATTTATGTAGAAAATTTATAACATAAACATGTTAAAAACCACTACAAAAATACCCATTTTGTTTCAACACTCTAATGCCGCGATAGGTAAAATTGTTCGACAATTTGTATTCGCGCAGGCACGTTATTTGTTTTTGATTTTGTTGGCTGCACATTATACTAACATCAGTTGGACACCATATGTGAGATAAGGAGCACCATGACTATATCGTGTATTGGAACAGCAATCCATTTTCTATGCAAGTTTCTTTGAAAACGACTCACAAGGTATGGGGTTGAGATTTGTATATAATATCTCATGTGTTCGTATCATTTTGTTTCTTTTCAGACCATAAATTATATAAAAATTGTCCGATTGTTTGCCAACTAAACTTTCATATATATATATATATATATATATATAGTAATCCACAGACAGAGTGTTTTCTTTGGACGTAGCTAGATATTCGATTACTTGAAGCAGAGATAGAAACCCGACCGATTGTCATCCGACAGAGATTCTCCTCCCAAGCTATCGTTGAATTTATATATATATATATATATATATATATATATATATATATATATATATATGTTGTTTATTCAGATTTAAAAAGAAGAAGAATTTAATAATAACTTATTCTCTATTATTATCGTGATCCCTTTATTAAAGATCATGTTATACATGTTATACTGCTGTGGCAATAATAATCTGCTTATATATATATATATATATATATATATTACTCCATATGATCCTATAAGTATTTTCACATTGATTTAAGATATTGTGCACTTATAAATACAGGAGTACTTATTTGGTAAACACTTATTAACAAATCTACACGCAAATATACATATATATATATATATATATATATATATATATATATATATATAGAGAGAGAGAGAGAGAGAGAGAGAGAGAGAGGGGGGGAGAGAGAGAACGGCCGACAGGCACACAGAGAAAGAGAGAGAGGAGAGAGAAGGAGAGTGAAACAAAGACTAACAGAGACAGATATAGGGAGACAGATTAATAAGTAAACATACAGGGATAGAGAGGGTGAGAGGCAGACAGAGTATAAGTGAGAGTATTTTCATTTGTTTCTCCGTCCTTTGTACAAATCTTATTGTCTGTCTAGTAATGCGCTAATCTGATGGACGAAAAATTTCATTTGACGTAAGTTTCAGCAAATTAAGCTAACTTATGTCGTCCTCGCGAAGGAGGTGTCTGTTTCTAATGTTATTAAACGAAACACAGCCAGTTATATTTGTCTCTCGAAGCACCTGTGGCAAACCTGAAGAAGGCAAACAATTACCTACAGACATTGTTCCAGTACAGAAACCCCCCTCCTCCATACGCAGCGATCTCATAGCATATGCTTATTACATCTTAATTGTTTGACTAGCGACAAAGACAACTCAATTTGCAGAAACATCGGCCGTGTATGTGTGTGTGTTTGTACGAGGTCTTTCGCTTGGTGACATCTGTCGAATGTGTTTTGTTCTTTGAATGAGAGAGAGAGAGAGAGATAGAGAGATAGATAGATAGATAGATAGAGAGAGAGATTGTCAGTGTAGAGTGAATGGAGATTTGTTCGCTGTTGAAAATATGAAACGTGAATTACCAAGAGTATGGCGGACAGGTTTCTTAGATTTCGAAGCACTCTCAACAGAGTTGCCTCCTCCAACCGATTGCAATCGGATGAGACCAGACGTACTTACGTGACAGGGAAAAAGTAAAAAGGAATCAACACTAAAAAGACACTCATTATTCATACGCATGTATGTTTATGCATATAAGCGAACCAAAAAATATATATATAGACGCAAGATTTTCAAACAGCGAACTAAACAAAATAGAAGAGAAGACATAGATAACAAAGAACTGTCATAGATCTTTAGACAAATGGATAGCGATGCACAGATATATAGATATAAAAAGAATGATTCATAAAACGTTCAAGACTGTGAGATAAATATGAATATACATATGGGATAACGACATATAAATTTTCATATTTCAGCAACAATAAAATGGTGGAGTAGATTGTATATTAAAATACTAAACAATAACACTAAACAGTAAATTTATTTGATAAAATCGCCATTAGCTCCGACCACTGCTTCCAAACGACTTCGGTATCTTGTATATCTCTTTTGGATGGTTTCCTTGTATAATTTTTTGAATGCTGCCATAATCCGTGCCTTCAGTTCATCATTGGTGTTACAAAGATTTTTGTTGGTCTCTCAACTGTGATCCACACCTAATAATAAATGGAGGTTGAAGTCTGGGGAGTTAGGTGGCTAGATCTAAGGGTGATGTGGTCTGACAGTCATGACAGGGTTCTCGTGATTGTGTGACATGGTACAGAGTTCTGTTTTCAGAAATAATCCTCTTGACCCACTAACTCCTCAAGGTGCTTGATGTAGGCCCCTGTGTTGAGTTTGAAGCCCTCACCAACAGATTAGATAGTATTTTCTTAAAAGAGTGAGATTTTCGAGATGACAGACTTTCGTAATATCTTTTAGATCATCCAGCTTCACCCGAATCATCTGCAACGTCATAAGTTTGACACCCCAACACAATCTAAAATCTTCGACTTGAGCTTTCGGTGCGAAAACCAAACAGTACTGCATGCCGTTCCCAAATTTCTGAGTGAATTGGATCATGCTCATCTTTTTGATACACACGGTACCCAACTGACCCTACTATACTAATCGTCAAAATAAAAAAAACAAAAAACAAAATAACGCGGATGGGCGAAATTAATATTATATATAATGGTTAGAATCTCCGACTGACACCAATTCAGTCGGGGTTTCGATCCTGGCTAGAGGCAACCGGATGTCTAGCCACACTGATTAGCTGTGAAACAGCGAAACAGTCTGTCTGTGGATGACGTTATACTGGCTCCTGAAATATCAATTTCAGTTGAGCTCTCTGGGGACGAGGTGTGGGTTGGTAAACAGTGACTATTATAGCTATAGAGCGAGACTCTTCGCAGATGCGAATTGAGTCACTGGGCGTGTTTCTAAAAATAAATACGCTAAAAAATTCACTTTCGTCCCTACCGTGCGCCGACGGCTTAATGGTTAGAATCTCCGACTGACACCAATTCAGTGGGGTTTCGATCCTGGCTCGAGGCAACCGGATGTCTAGCCACACTGATGAGCTGTGAAACAGTCTGTCTGTGGATGACGTTATATATATATATATATATATATATATATATATATATATATATGTGTGTGTGTGGATTTAGATAGATTGATAAATAAATAGATAGAGATAGATAGCGAAAGAGGAAGGGAGGGGATAAAGATAATGATCGAAGCTCTTCAGCAATGGACTTAATTAGATTTCAATTAATATATATATGTATGTGTGTGTGTTTATTAGTCTCCATCAATATATTGAACCCTATCTGTGCACCTTTCTCTCTGATAATCTCTATATGTCTCTGTCGCTCTCTATCTATCTGTCTGTCTATCTATCTATGATTCAGTTCTTATTTGTTTTCTGATCAGAATATATTAGCGACATTTTAGAGAGGCTTTATTTTGTTGCACGTGTTTATATACAAAAGCGAGGATATCATTGGTTTAAGGATGTTAAACATGACAACGTTCATGAATATTCAAAAGGTGGCTGAAAGACCAGTGAAAAAAATATGGAGAACACAAAGTGTAATAATTCAAAGCCTGACAAAAAGTAAGCGTGTAATATTCAATATTTTTTATGAACATTATTTAAATTGTGATTAGATAGTTATGGCGTGGGATGGATGGATGTGCTGAAAATATGAAGTGATGTACTTAACCGATTTCTTTTGTTTTTTCAATATATCTGTGGTCGTGCATATTCGCTTGGGAAAGTTGTAATTTTTTCAGGAAAGGTGAGATTGGAGAAAACCCCATCTCTCTCTCTCTCTCTCTTTCTCTCTCGCTCGCTCTCTCATTCACTCTATCTATCTATCTATCTAAAAGACAATAGGAAAACTGAAATTGTTGCCGACGCGTTTCGTCCGATGTAGAATTTTTCAACCAAAAACGAAATGAATTTATTAAACAAAGTAACTATTAATAACAAAACAAAATGTCCTTAGCAACTGGAAGAATTTAGAGAAAACAATTTTTATAATAATAATTGAAAATTACGTCATTACTGTCACGTATGGAGATATTGTTTTTTATTGTTGTGTTGACAGATTCAACCATTTTTTTTCATTTCTTCATACTATTTCTCTTCGTTTGTTTTTCTTTATTCTTTTAATTCTATTAAGAAAGGTGAAATAAAAAAAAAAGCCTGGGCGTAGATTAATATTTGGGTAATATTCAATGGTGGCACTCGAGGATTTTTCCTCCTGCGTTAGTTATTTTATTTATATATATATATATATATATATATATATATATATATATATATATATATATATATATATATATATATATGTGTGTGTGTGTGTGTGTGTGTGTTTCAATATATTAAATCCGACAAATATTTTAATATATTTTCTGTTTGTACTTTATTTATTAATGGATAAACAGAAAATATATTAAAATATTTTTCTGATTTAAACCACTTCATGTAATATGTTGTCATTCCTTATGTTAGGTTAACTTTTCGGATCGGAAATGAATTATCGAGAAAGATCATCGACGATGTGTGTTTATAAGCAGCTACTTGGACTTTGCTAACCGGAATCTTCTCTGTGGCTGATTGGTTAACATCACGTCAGGACGAATGACGGTTTCCAAATGAGGAAACAGGTTCGAAATTTCTCGAACCTTCAAGCCGGTAAATGTAGTTAATAATATTTAATTAAAACAGACCATTTACTCAAATAAGTTGTATGCATAAAAATAACGTATGAACATAAAATATATTAAAATATTTGTCGGATTTTTTCCAATATGTGTGTGTGTATTTTGAGATACACATTTATACATATATATATATATATATATATATATATATATATATATATATATATATATATATATATATATATATATATATTAAAAAGAAAGAAGACAGGTGCCGCAAACGTTTTTGGTTGTAATGTGGATTTATTTAGAAAAAAAAAAATTATGCTTTGTTTTACATAAGTTTACGACACGTGTTTCTGGTCTCGGGACCGTCTTCAGGTAAAAGCGGAGATTTCCACATATTATTAAAAATAATTAATTTTTTCCTTATGTTCAATGTTAAATATTCTCGATATGAGACACTCGCTGTTTGTGTGTTGGTAATATAAGAACTTAGACAATTAGTTTGTTCTGTTTTAGTTTTTTTATTTTTTTGTTTTTTTTTGTTTTGTTTTGATTTTTTTGCTTCTTTTTAAAATTTACATACTTATCTTGTGAGAGGAGAGGTGTTTTCATGCATTTCTCAAATGAATAAATGAACGCAACTGGAATTGGAATTCTGCTCTCTGATTAAAAAGTCCTTGCCATTATCCGTTACACCGGCCGCAACTTGTATTTCCAAACTGATAGATAGATAGATAATGTGTGTGTGTGAGCGAGAGAGAGAGAGAGAGAGAGGGAGATTTGGTGAAAACACTATTACATCCAAAAGTTTTATAAAACCCATTATTAAAGAAGCTAATCTAGGTCTCCCCACCACTTCAAATGTTACAAAAGATTTTCTAAACTCAAAAATAAGACTCCAAAATCAACAGGCAGACAAAAACCAAACATAAATAATCATAAATAAATTTATAAGAAATAAATGTACAAGACACTCATATACTGGATTTACATACTAGATACACTTACACACATTAAATGTGCAGACAAACGCTGCTTAACAAGACAAATGTACGTGAAGCCTGCTTATCCAACGAAAAACAAACAACAAAGACATTAGAAATACCATTTTTCCACTTTCTTCGATTTTATCCATATCAAATTTTCTGATGTAGTTTTTAATAAAAGCGAAAAATGTTACATTTAATACCGTTTATTATTTGTTCCTTATCCTATCGTAGATAGATAGATAGATAGATGTGTTTAAACTGATTAATTATATAGGAATAAACTAATCTTAACTATTCATCCCCTCCTCTGATTTTTCGATTCCTGTCAACCTTTCTCTACTTAGAAAGAACTCTTGCATGGCGTAGAGGATTATATGTCCGCGAACATCTCTTGAATGTTACATTTATAAACGTTTCCTATTTGTTGCTTCTTCTGTCATAGATAGATAGATAGATAAGGTAGTAGGTAGATAGATATGAAGATATTCAGATAGATAGATAGATATGAAGATATGAAGATAGATAGATAGATATGAAGATATGAAGATAGATAGATAGATATGAAGATATGAAGATAGATAGATAGATATGAAGATAGATAGATAGATAGATATGAAGATAGATAGATAGATAGATATGAAGATAGATAGATAGATAGATAGATATGAAGATAGATAGATAGATAGATATGAAGATAGATAGATATGAAGATAGATATGAAGATAGATAGATATGAAGATAGATAGATAGATATGAAGATAGATAGATAGATATGAAGATAGATAGATAGATAGATAGATAGATAGATAGATAGATAGATAGATCTGTTTCAACCGATTCTTGGAAAGGAACAAACTAATTTTACATATTTATCACCCCCACTGATTTCTAAATTACTGTCTACCTTCCTCGTCTTAGAAAGAACTCTATGGCCACGAGTTTATGTCCGTAAACATCTCACGATGGCTAGGGAACTCTCTCTTGAATTTCCAGACCATTCGTAAATGTGCCACCGTCTTTCTCTACTTAACTTACCTATCTCTTCTTTACCGTTCTCAATCTCTCAATCTTTCACGCATGTTGCTCACTTCCCTTGCGTTTCTTCGCCAACCCTTTAATACGTTCATCACTGCCTCTTGTCGTACTACGCTGTTCTGCCCTCTTGGCAACTCTGATCATGCAGTAGAGTCTGTAAGTACCTCCTTCCTCTTCCACACCATCCAAGGACTCCCTACCAAAAGAATATCCTTCTGTTTTCAACATGCACATTCGGACTCGTTCCCTGATTTCCTCCGTGACGTCCCATTGGAAAGAATATGTTAAACTTTCTGTTAAAAAATGAGCGTCTTAGGTCTCCTTCTGGGTAAAAGCAGGCATCTATGCTTTCATTCCAACAAGAAAATACCGAGATAAAACGCGTTCATCACCGTGGTTCTCGCCTGCATGCTCGGCCGCCATAGCCCACAGGAATCACTTCTTCCGGCAGTACCAGAGCGACACGTCTGATTGCAACAGACGTCTCTTTGCCTCTGCCCGTAACGAGTGCAAGCGTGCCCTCAATGAAGCGAAGTTACTGTTTGCTAATAGAATGAAACAACGTATATCATCGAACAAGTTCGGTTCAAGATTATTGGCGGCTCTGCAAGAGTGTGATGAACAAAACAAATCCTCACACCCTCCCCTAAACAAACAATTTGAAGTTCTGACATCTAAAACAGATAAGGTTGGAAACTTTGCTCGTAAATTCTCTTTCAGCTCAACATTCGATTTATCTGAAATACCCACACCTGGTTTCCCTTCTAGAACTTAGGCAATACTTGGTAATATGCGCAAAACCCCTTCAATGGCCTCGGGCATCATGTCTAAATTAGATTTTCATAAGGCAAGTGGAAGTGGCTGTATACCAGTTGTCAGCCGAGAGAAATGTACTCCCGTGCTGACCCCAGATTTCTCTAAACTCTACAACCATTGTCTCGCTGCTTCCTGTTTCCCAGCTTGTTGAAAGACTGCTTCTGTAGACACCATTTTAAGAACATTGGAAAACCTTCCGACCTCTCTAACTATCGCATTATTAGTCTCCTACAGCTTTTCAGCGAAATATTCTAGGTTTTAATCAATGTTGAAGTGGTTAAGCAAATTTACAAATCTACCATTCGTCCGTGCATTGAATACTGTTACCATATCCGGTCTGGTGTTCCTGCTGTTAATCTCGAGTTTCTTGGCAAAATCCAAAGAAGGATCTGCAATGTAATCGATCCTGAATTGATATCTCGACTTCAGTAAGTTTCTCACAGTCATGATTTGGCATCCCCCTGCCTTTTCTACAAATATTTTCAAAACAATTGCCCCGACGAGCTTTTTTCCCTGGTGGCCCGACTGTATGAATTTACGCGTGCTACTAGATTGGCAAGTAGGTCCCACACATTTACTGTTGAAATTAGTAATGCAGCCGCCATTACTAATTCAAGAGATTCTTTTCTCTCACTTCCAGACAGTGGAACTCCTTCCGCTTATTTGCTTCCCTAGTAACTACAATCTTCAAAAATTTAAATAGACCGCCAATCGCAATCTTCTGTTGTTTTGAACCCTGTTCCTCTTTTATCCTTTTAACAAACCACCTATACCGAGTCTTTTCTCTCACTTTCACAAACTGCGCCCACCCCGCGTACTAATGGCATTCCCGCCTTGCTTGGAAAGAAATGATTAAAAAAAAAGGCGAATGCGCACAAATATATATTAACACAAAGATGTAGATATTTACTGAATTGGATACATACGTATGGAAAGAATAAGATACATAGATAGATAGATATCAAAAGATACAAAGAGATAGATAGATAAATAGGTATCAAAAGATACAAAGAGATAGATAGATAAATAGGTATCAAAAGATACAATAGATAGATAGATAAATAGATAGATAGATATGAAAAGATACAAATCGAAAAATAGATAGGTAGATAGACAAACATGAAAAGATACAAAGACATAGATAAATAAATATCAAATGATACAGATAGATAGATAGATAGATAGATAGATAGATATGAAAACATACAAATAGACTAATAGATAGGTAGATAGATAGATAAATAGATATGTAAAGATACAATAGATAGATAGACAGCTATAAAAAGATACAAAGAGATAGATAGATAAATACATGTCAACAGATACAAAAAGATAGATAGATAGATAGATAGATAGATATGAAAACATACAAATTGAAAAATAGATAGGTAGATAGACAGATATGAAAAAATTCAAAGAGATAGATAGATAGATAGATAGATAGATAGATAGATAGATAGATAGATATGAAAAGATACAAATACAAAAATAGAGAGGTAGACAGATAGATAGAAGAAAAATAAAAAAAAAAACTGACCAAATAATAAAATATATTCCTTCAGATAGGTAGTTAGATATTAACATTGATGAATTTCATCGAAATAAATAACACATTTCTGCTACTGGTTCTTAAGTACTATATGTTAAGCAATAATACGTTACGTGAATTGAAAGGACACTTCTAAGACTTTACTAAAATTGCCCCAGCGACAATTTAAAAGATGTAATATATGATCAGAAAAAAACAAAAAACGCCAGAAAACAATTCTAAGACCATATTCTATATTTCCACACTGCTTCTAACCGCATTTTCCTTCTTATATCCGCTTTTTACTCATACGTCTTTGCTCGAAGCGTCAGTGATTTATTGCCTGTCTTCCACTCGCTTTTTCCACTGGGATCAAACGAATATCCATTGTGTATGTTCTCTATTCAAGTATATTCTTTGAGTACAGTACTATTATCACTGTTCCTGGAACGATTCTTGAAAAGTTTACCGGTGCAAAAAATACGAACAGGTTGAACAACAATTAAAGGTAATGCTGTTTCCAAAATACTTGTTTTCTTTGTCTTCACATGACCTGTTGCTGAATCACATGCCATTGTATATTTATTATCTATTATATATATATATATATATATATATATATATATATATATATATATATATAGTGAAACTATTTTTCTCGCATAAAAATTCAGACTGCCATTTTATTTATTACCAGACCGAACGAGTTTTAAACTGCATTAGAACAAAAGTTTAAGATCGTTTGATTAAAAAGAATAATAAATGTACATGGTGTTCCGAAAGTCGTATCGTCCCCTAAAAAGTAATAGGAACAACAAAATCAAGTAATACAGTAATACAAATCACATGTACTGCATTCAGTTTATTATTCACTTTCATTGACATTGTCACACACGCAGAAGGTCTGTACGAACACTATTTTCCTGTCAGAGAAAGAGAAAAAAAAAACGAAAAGAGAAAAAAGAGGGTTATATATGGATATAGATCCGACAGTATGAAGAAAAATATACGGAAAAAAAACAAACAAAAATCCTAATATACAATTATGCTGTTTTAATGTTAATATGTCAACGTCGGACGTTTCGGTCTAATAAACCATCTTCAGGACATATTCATAAATTATAACATTATCAATACAACATGACAAAGACGATGTACATAAGAACAAGACTTATCCAAACAATAACTGATTTTTTATAAGATCAGCGCTCCGTTTAAAACATGGTCACGTTGTCGTCACGTGGGCGACAATAATATAAAATATTCCTAAAATTTGAGTATTTTGAATGAAAAATTAAAAAAATTCTATTTTGATCTAAAATTTATATGGATATGTCGAGTATAAATAATATCGCTATAAAAGGGGAAATATACTGAAGCCAGGTCTAGTATTACCGTCTGTTTATAATATTATATTACTTCATAAATCCATTTTTGAATATAATATATATATATATATATATATATATATATATAGGTATATACCCCAAAAAAAAAAAAAACACTTTCATACAAACACGACATTTTCTTTACAAGAAAAAAAGCAATTAGGAAGACAGTTGATGGCGTCTTTTTTGCATGAAAATTTTGGGAAGAAATTTGCGAGATTGGAAATAAAATATACAAAATGTTTTATATCTTTTTAGTCAACTATAAACTGATTATGATCTCGACTATAAACATGGTTGATTAATCTAGTATAAGGTTTATATTTAAATTCATACAGTAAGAAAACCATTTTGAAAGATCCTGTGAACAAATGACATGAAAATATTTTATCAAAATTTAGATAGAGGCAATCTTACAGCAGTGATTAAAAAGATGGAACAGTTTGAAAAAAACCAGATCAATCTTAATAATTATTTTTAATGCTTTTGGGATCTTAAGTTAGATGCAAAATAGCTTACGGGAATCGTAAATTAAAAGCAACAAGATTTAATAATGAACAAATTTTAGACGAATATTTTACGATTATGCAAGATAAGATTCTGTGAAAATTTAAATTTCTAAATCGTATGGACAAATTTTGAAAAATTTCTGTTTTGAAACTAATCTAGCAAAAAATTCATTCCTTGCCATAAAAAATGAATGTCATTTGAAAATGTTATAAAAGAAAATGATGCGCAAACAGGATTTTCTATTGTTGGTGGGATAAATAATCTCATTCTGATCTTTATGAGATGTGTCTTAAAGATGATTAATTAAAGAATTTTAGTATTGGATTTTTTTTAAATCATTAATATATATATATATATATATATATATATATATATATATATACAGATAGAGAGAATATATAGAGATAGATGTCAACAAAATGAAATTTAAGAATTGAATGAGGTGCACGTACACACAAAATTTATCTGTATGAAATATAATACATCCACATTCCTTTAATAATCCAACATATATATATATATATATATATATATATATATATATATATATATATATATATATATATATAATATATATAGAAAAAAACAAAATTTATAAGGAATTTTTGTTTTATTGAAAAAAAAAAACAAAATGGCTATTTTCGTCCCAGGAATTAGAAAGTTTATTTTTATGAGAATAGACAATTTATAAAGAGGTGTAAATTAAATTTCGAATGGAATCGACTGGATTTTTAAAAAAATATGAATTTTCAAAAACTAAAGTCAAAAAAATTCAGACCCAATAACAAAAATTTTTTCAAATGGAAGGCCCACGGGATCTGATAAAAAAACTAAACAAAAGAAACAAAATTTTATATTAATGCGAGGACCTAGATAAAATTAAATTTTTTTCCACACTAAAATTAACCACACATTTCTTTTTAGGTATTATATTCTCATCTGAATAATTTTGAGGCAGATTTTATGATATTATTTGGTTCTTCCTGGCAGACGGATTCAAAATAAAAAATAAGATGAATGCATTATTCTCGAATCCAAACGCATGGGACGTCCTCCTTATGTAATCAAGTCCAACAACTACACTATTTATATCCAAATAAATCACTGAATTAACCTGATATATGGGGAGATAGGACGTAAAATTACGAATGGAAAAAAAACAGGTAAATAAACAAATATTATCCTAACATTATATATAATAAATAGTAGGAAATAAATAATGTGGTTAATTTTTTTGGGGAACGTTTTGGTTTTAGATTCCCACTCCATTTCACTTCAAGGTTCTAGGGTCCTTGTATATTAGATCAAAAGCCTATATTTTTTAAACATAGGGAATGCTTTTTGGGTTCTGAATGTTATTATATATCTACTTTCTTTGAAATTTTTTTTTTTTCTCACTTCCATTTCATTCCATTCGTTAATTTAATTTACAAGGTTTTTATAAATTTTCTTTGGTTTTTGACAGAAATATAAACTCTATAAGTCCTGGGACGAAACTCCTTGTATTTTTTTATTTTTTTTATCTTTTTCTTTTAAAATGCCTTATATTTTTCATTTAAAGACGGCCCATATATATATATATATATATATATATATATATATATATATATATATATAATTTATACAGAGAAAATATACATATATATTCCTAGCTTTATATATATATATATATATATATTATTATATTTCAAAAATAATATTTCTTTACATCAAAGTACTTCAGCACTTTGAAAATATATATATAATTTTTATACTTATACTTTCCATTTCAGAATTGATGGAAAAGTACTTAGTAAATAAAACTTATTTTCACTTTTACATTAATGATTTCTCCTTTATTTGATTATAATATAAGGAAAAAATATTCGTGAATATGAAAGGATTATGATGAAAAATAAACATACCTAATGTTTTTTAATTCATTTTTAATATATATATATATATATATATATATATATATATATATATATATCCTTAGATGGAAATAATTGACGATCCTGATGTAGATTTTGGCTTTTGAAAAGCGATACGTGATTATTTATTGTTTTTACAGCTTAACAATACTTTTCATGTTATTTATAGCCATCCAATAATTTTAGAATGTAAGGAGGTATTATAATGGTTTAGTGAAACAAGTCTTTTTAATTAACCCATAGTTGAGGAGAAGACGTGGATTTTTGCCATTCCCAAAGATATTTTCGCCGAAGTAAACATTACGAATCCAATGGGAATTGTAACTCGACTCTCTGATTACCAATTCCGAGCCATCATCTTTTAGACCACCAGCATATCCAAACTGTTATTCTAACGTGGTTACCCTTCTAGGTACTGAGCCGTTTGGACGTTGCTCAACTTCAGTGATCGTATGGGAACCCGTGCTTGAACGTGATGTTGCCGTAAGCCAGTTTTTCCTTAGAAATTTTGCATCACCTTCCTGTAACTAAATAGAAATAATTCCGACATATATATATATATATATATATATATATATATATATATATATGTGTGTGTGTGTGTGTGTGTTTTGTCTGAGGAAGATGAGAGTTTCTTAGAGCTAATGAGAAAGGCCACTAAAAATCGCGTTATTTGGGTTTTCAATTGTAACAGCAAAAAAACGACAGCGCAGTCATCCATTTTTCTAACCTCTTTTGACATTCTTCGGACCTGGAATTCGATCCCTTTCAGACAAAAAAAC